GAATAATGAGGTGGGTTGGAAGGTGTCTGGATCACCACACTCAAAGTCAGTCAGCAGTACAAAGCCCAGGCGACAGCCAGTGGGCTCTAGTGGCATCTCTTAAGGATCAGTACTCTGTGATGCCCTTAGTAACATCCTGAATGGTACAAACAGCAAATTAGTGCACATCACCAAATCAGGGACAGTGTCTGGCATGCTTCAAGAGCAGTGCTTGCTGGAGGAATCCAAATAGGCTGGAGGAATGGCTCATAACAATTTCATGGAAAAAAAAATCAAATGCAACTCCCTCACCTGGGAGAGATTAAGTCCCTAAAACAGTACTGGGTGCCACCTGGCTGAGGAGCTGTTTCACTAAAAAAGTGTTTGGCATTTGCAAAAAGTTTGGGAAAGCAGTGAGGAAATACTAACTCTTCAATACATGTCCTCAAGATCCTGACTGTTTACCATAAGACTGATCAAACACTAGATGAAGTTGCCCAGAAATGTTGCAGAAACCCCATTCCCAGGGTTATCCGAAATCCTACGGGACAACACAGTGAGCAACACTCTCGCTGAGCCTGCTTTCAGCCGGTGGCAGGAGACAGGACCTCTGGGGTCAGAGCACCCTGATTCAATACTCCTCAAACTGCGACTAATCGCCTCCGCTTTTCTCCCCCAGTGCTCAGCTTCCCGGAGGCCAGCAGGGAGCAGTGAAAGGCGAGGAATGAAGACTTACCCACCCGACCAGCAGCATTCCTGCAAGGCTGCAGATACATGCCGGGACCGCCCAGCGCTGGAGTTCTGAATGCCCAGCCCAGGGAAGCGGGAAGGGCCCCGGCCAGCCACCGGCCAAGAAAGGCCATTGAGGGATGCACCCCCGGGCACCGGGCACGGCCGGGAGCGGGGAGCCGAGCAGAGGACGGGGAGAGCGGCTGGCGACTCTCTCGGGGACCTGGCCAAGGGATGCAGAGTTCGGGGGCGTTTCCTACAGCCAGGGGGTCGGGCAGAGGGGGCTGCCCAGCTGGCTGCACCCACGGGTGCCAGCCCACCAGCCTGATCCCCAGAACTCCGGTGGTGTTCCCCATATCGCTGCTGTCAGCGCTGGACGTTGCTTGTTGCTTCAAGCGTCTGGGGCTGCAAGGTTCGTATTGCCCAACTGTCCTCTTTGATCTCGAGATATAAACACATGCTTAGCAACAACCGAAATTTAAATTCTTACATAACCAAATGACTCCAGGCACTGGAATGATGAAATCCCAAGAAGCCTCAAGACTCTTCCACTGACAATGGACCTGCCAAAACCCAGGAGACACTGGCCACTTTACTGGTCAGCTTTGCTACAGGTCAGGATAATGCTCACATCCATTGTGCAAATGAGCACCAAGGCCACAAAGACATTTGCATGTTGCCGTCAGTTCCAGTATAAATTATGGCATGTTGATTTAAACTATGGAACTTTACCCACAAATGACACCTATGGAAAATCAGACACAGGACAAAAAGAAACCCCAGCAAACTGATTTCTTGGGACCCCAAAAATCTGGGTTTACAGGTGGTTGAGCTTAGAAGTGCTGCCTCTGGTTTAAGTCTGGGGTGAATGACTATGACTGGTGTGGTTGCAGGCATTCCCATCTAAGTCTCTCCACCTGGCTCTCCTGTCCTAGGCTAACACACCTGTTCCAGGGGAGGCAGAAGAAGAATGGGAACATCAGTCCTTGTCACTGGGCATCAGGGAGCTCTGCACAAGTCCCTTTCTTCAGTCACTTGGTTAGCTAATAGCTCTGGGCATGGGCAAGGGTACAGCACAGGCTGTCACCCAGGAGAGCTAGAAACGCACTGTAGACAGCAAAGACAGTATTTTAAATTGCTAGTTCAATCTGTCAGAGCATGAAACCCAGATCTTAGAGATGCTCATACATATACATAGAGACGTTTCACACATCTGGAGTAGTTCCTTGACACTAACCCTGTGTGTTACCACACACACAGCTGCTTTCACACACACCACCAGGGCATTACTCGACTCTCCGCGATACAACTGACCAGCCATTCATACACTCAGTGCATCAACAGAAGTTGGAAGGGGTCTCTGAAGGCCACCCTTCCCATCCCTGCTCGAAGCAGGGTCAGCTAGAACAGGTGGCTCAGGGCCTTAGCCAGTCCACTTTTGATTGCTTCCAAGGCTGGAGGTTCTACAGCCTCTCCATGCAACATGCTCCAACATTTGACCACTTTCATGGTAAAACATAAGGATTTTAGTGCATGCTTTGAAGATTGAACTCTCCAAACTGAACTTAGGCAAATCACTTCAGTCCTGGATATGCTGTTCACAGGAGTTTATACAGTCAGCTACAACACTTGACTGGTTCTGCAGTAACTTTGGTCAGGGATTCAGAGCAGCCTAACTCTCCCACATAAAATGCATTCATTGTGCCAGTGTAACTTCCTGAAACATTTAATTGAGAGGTCAGGCAAGTAGCTGTGTGTACAAGCCAAGAATAAAACAGAATTACATGCATGAAGATCTCCTGAAACTGTAGCTTCTCTGAAATAATGTAATATTGGCCTTTGCAAGGGACACAGTTGTCCAAAATTTGGAGAATGAGTTCCCTAGGGGCTAAGGGCCCTTCAGTACTTGCCCATTCAGACTGCCAGCTATGCTGCTTACACCAGTAGCACAAACACACTACAACACAAAATCCGCTGGGGAGAGGAGAGGGGAACAAACCACACATTTGTGTATTAGTCATTTTTGAGGTTAATGGGAAAGTGTTCAGATGCTCCTTTGAATGGTTCATGGTAAGCTGCAAACTAGAACAGAACACTTAAATCATTAGTGCCCATAAGGAGCTCCAAGGTCCTCAGGTGGAAATCATTATATAACAAATACTCCATTATCTTAAACACAGATTATTATTTCAGTGCATAATGTATCTTAAAAGGAAATACAAACCTTTGCTTAGAAGTCAGAGCTGGTCCTTACCACATTCTGTGCCTGCTCACCTGCAGGGCACAAGCTGTCATGCAATATCCAGTAATTAAGCTATATTTATTATAAGATTGGAAGGCGTGAAGTCATTCCCTGTGCTACTACACGTGCCTTAAGTTAGCTATGATAATCATTCTCACATGCACCCAACTGATGTTTAGGCCTTCAGCCACAGTTACTCTCTTATGAAACAATAGCAAGTGACAGAGTGGCACAGAGTGGGAAAATATTGCCGACTTTGGTCATAAAGTGATTTGGAAAAGAGAGATTTTTCTTGGTTAGACTGCGTGCAGTTACACTCTATTCCATATATCCAGAAAATGGAATAGGTTGTCACTTTTACTGCAAACACAGGAGTATCACCATTCCAGAACCATCTCATTGGTTCCAGAACCATCCTCACCTACTGTATAAGAAACAAGCAAATAAATTGCATTTATTTTTGGCATGTAAATACTTGCACAGTAAAATCTTTTCAAATCAGATCTTGAAAATATATGCATCCAGGTAGAATAACATGTTTCCATGTGTGTTATTTCACCATGTTTCCCACCAATTACAACTATGTATCTGCCATTCAGTGAAAAACATGTTCATGTTTCCCTTAAATCCTACTCCATATTTAGGATGATTTGGAGATAATTTATCAAACACTGCAGTCATCAGGATTCCTTTTGGAGCACTGAACATGTTACACAACCCTTACAACAAGGTAAATCCTCTAACCTGCCAGAGCTTGTTTATAGCCTGACACAGGCAGCATCTACAATGCCAAGTGAAGCTGGGCCAGGAACTGTTTTTTGGTGGAAGGGCTGGGCAGTCACACCCCACGTCCACACCACACAGCACATGGCTAGTGGTCACCTCTGAACTACATGTGGTCTTAAATAAGTATTATTTCAAACTGGCAGATTTTAATAAAAGAGAGCTTGTGCCATAGGCCAGAGGGATGATTTACAACATGAAGCTAAAGGACTTGTCATATGCCACAGCATAGAGGTGTGTTTGACAGTATGAAACCTGCTGGGATGTTGCTGGATCACCCAGAAGAGTGGAGGGGGTCCTGTCTCACAGAGTCTTCCTCACTGCCCATTGGACACACACTACCCTCTGAGCTACACCCGGTCATCATCTTGGAGATTGCTGGTTGACACATGCCAAGACTGTTTCAGAAACCAGAATCAATACTATGTAGCAGAGCACGGTGGAAAAACAAGGCAAATACCCAAGCTTGATTCCTACCTTCTTTGATTCAGCAGCACAGGCATAGCCAAGGGACCCAGGCTTGTGGCACCTGGAAATTGCTGACAAATAGCAGTAAAATACCACAGCCATGTGGGGGGGAGGGGCAGGGGGGAGAGGAAAGAGATTGAAGAAGATGGGAGGATCTGAGAGGCCCATGGATAGTTAAAGCTTTGAAGAGCTGAATTCTTTGAAAGTCTTGGAGTGAAACCCTTATCTGTGCCGGAAACCCCATTCTTGGCTTTGTACTCAGTTCTTATGTAATGACAACAAATTACTTTGTTTTATCTTCCCTGTCGTCCTCGAGGTTAGTGACACATCACCATCAGGTTACGTTACTATTTTAATTCAACTGCCGTACCACATGTCTGAATGCTGTAACAGAGCTTGTCCTTCACCCGTGTGCTACTGGCAACTGTTATTTTTCCTTCAATTAGAATTCAAATGCTTCATGGCAGGAATTTCATCACTCTCATGCAGAAGCACCCAATATACTTCAAAGTGGTGTCAAATAATGTTTTATTTAAAAACCCAAATACCCTCACAATATCTGAATTTCATGTACCTTTCACATGATGGGCTTTAAGACTAACACTGCTACTGTATTTTATGGCCTTCGCAGTACCATTACCTATTCAGGGGAAATATTTAATTTTGCAAACAGAACCAGATAAATACCATATTATGAGCTGGTTTCCCTTCCTTTCTTCCCAAGTATGAGAAGATTCAAGATGGGTTTTTTTAAAAAGCACTCAATCCTTACCAAGTAGAAGACACAGTGCAATCAGAATTAAAATTACTCCTTTAATGTTGCAGCTGGTTGTTCTTAGCCAACAGGCCAAGTTACAAAACATTTGTATAAAAACAGATCTCAAATCTAATCAGTGAAGAAGAGCTGAAAATCTGTTGTTGTGAAGACTAAAGATGCCAAGGGGGTGGCAGGGGACAGGACACCACTCCACAGAACAAGAGCTCCTTAATTGGAAATAATAAAGACACATTGTCTACATGCTAGTTACAGCCTTCTTTTGTTTTCCCATGATATCCTGTTGATATAATATCCAGGTCCCTTGTGAACATCCGTTGTTTCCAAATGAGAAGAATGGGTGTTGTTGGTTTCACTTCAGCACCTCACTGGGTCACCAGCCTGCCTCTGCCCGGAAAGGCTACCGGATGCAGCTCCAAAGAACAGCCTTATCAGCAAAAGATCTGAAGAGATAAGGTGCACGGACATATGAGATCACATCTTCTGGTAATTTAAACAAATTCAAACATCATTATAATATGGAAGCACAGGAAAGAGTGAAAGTTCAGCTAAATCCCTATGAACCCTCCTAGAAATAGTCATATTTAGTAAAATCAAATACAGTTTTTGCCCCTCTCTGTTAACAACCACGGTCTTCTGACACTACCTCGTAGCAACCACTTGAAGAAAGTAGTAAGGACAAAGTCAGTGTTCAGTGTGGAGTGCTGCCTCACCACAGTACTGCCTAAGGCCCCAGAAATTTCAAAATCAGGACTTGCACAGCCAAAGGGTATATATTTAATAGTTCTCACTAGCTGTTATTTGTGTTTATTTTCTGGAGTTTCCATCTTAAAAAAAAAAGCCAAAAAAACCCAGCAAAACCTCCCCCCCCCAAAAAAAAAAACCAAAAAAAAACCCAAAAAACCCTTGTAGTATCCACAAAATCAGGCAAAAAGGTTAAAAATGTTTTCTACAAGTACCCACAACATGGAATGAGCAACCTTGTCAAATCTGGTTTTATTCCACATTTCCCAAAGTTTTTCTTGTTGTACATCATTATTATACTGAAAGAAACCTCCCCTAACTCGTGTCTGTGAAGCTGAAGAGTCCTAGTTAACTTACCTGCTTCTGACCTAGAAGCTGTCTCACACTTCCTAACATTTATCTACTTGTCTGAACCTCTTATGATGCTCTCTGTCCTTCTAAAGATCAGAACTGTACACAACATTCAAAGCACTGGCACACCATGGATTTATCCCGTGCCATAATGACAATCTCTGCTTTTATTCTCATGCTCTTATTCCTTATCTGCTCACACTCAATTTGCTCATTTACCAAGCCTTGAAGTGAGGTTTTCACAGAACTATTATTACGCCAAGATCTTGCTCCCACGTGATAAATCAGTTAGGCTGTTTCTGTATGATTGAAATGGATTGTTTATCTCCCATTTAGAACACTTTGCATGTATGTACATCAAATTGTACCACCCACTCACTGTATTGTGACATTTTGCTACCTTTGCTCTCAGTCCACAAGCTCCAATTCAGATCTTTGTGGAATTTTGCATGTTGACTCAATTCACTGAGAAATAGTTTTGTTCTATCTTATAGAGACCTGTCTTTAATGCAGTGTCATCTATCCACATGAAAACTTCTCTTATTCTACAGTCCGTTCAGAAGGTTTTGCTCGTAGATTTTGATGAAAAAAAAAAAGTAATTATTTTCTTCCACCTACTAGAGATAAAAACCAGTTGTCAATTTTGGGGGGGGCGGGGGGTAGGGGTAGTTTGTTTCGTTTTGTTTTCCCACCCTCACGGACCAATTCTTGACGACTCTGGAGATATCCAGGCGGAGGGTGATGCCACGGAAGGCCAGTTAGGGACAGCGAGCGCTACAAACGCTCACGCGTGCGCTCGCCTGGGACTCAACACCCAGCCGCCCGAGATCCCCTTTCCTTCTCCTGCCGCCGCGCCCCGCAAAGGCAACGAGAGCGCCGGAGGAGGCGGAACGGAGACCCGGCTGCCGTGTCAGCCCAGCCGGGGGCTCCACCTGCGAGGAGCCCGGCGGGGCAAGGCCGGAGCGGCGTCCCCGGCTCCTCCCGCCGCCCGCGCCCCCGGGAAGCGCGGCGCCGCCGCCTCGCCATATATGGGCACGGCCGGAAGCGCGCGCGTCACGGCGCTGGCTCGCGGCGTCCCCGCGGGGAGCGGGACGTCACGTCACGTCCCCGCCGCGCCCGCGCGCGGCGCCCCGGCAACCAAACAGTAAACACGGGCGCGCGCAGGCGCGGCGGGGCGGGGCGGGGCCCGGGGCGCGCGCCGCCCGCCGCGAGAGCCCCGCGGGACCGCGCCGGGCCCGGCCCCACGCGGAGCCTCGCGCTGGTACCGGGTACCGGCGGCAGCGGCCGAGGGGTGCGCACCGCGGCGCCTCGGGACTGCGGCTGCTGTCTGCTTCGGTGGGGCCCCGCATCCGCGACACCCTCCTGTAGCCGGGCAGGACGGGCTGCGGGCTCAGCAGCCCTGCTTTATTCTGCCGTAAACGCGTTTAAGGGCCTTCGTATTGTTTTACAGCTCTACTTTCTGTAATTCCTAACAACTCCACTGTGCTTTGCGTTGTGTTGCAGTTGCATTTCTAAGAATTAATTACACTACTGCCCTCAGAGGGATCAGGAGCACAGGAGGCGTCAGAAATAACACGAGCGTTCCCTACGTGTCTTATCTCGTTCCATTGTTGTGTTTCACAAAGCTTTGTGCTGGTATCTGTGTGATGGATCAGATACAGCTTGTAATTGAAGCACATGCTTTATAACACATTGCAGGCAGAGACTGCTGCATTATTCCTCAGTTGAAGATAGTGGCAGATTCCCCCTGTTTTAAGTGCGAATTCACTACATAATTCTCAAATGCTAGGAAACAGATAAATCACGTTCATAACACAGTATAAATATTATGTAGCACATCCCGAATTCTGGGTTGTTTGTGGCTGAAGGCAAGGAGTAAGGCTGGAGCTTTGGGTTAGACATGAAGTGTGTTGTGTAGTGCCACCCCTGAATCTGACATCTTTGCATAACAAATGCAAAAGCTGACACTTAGACTTGGCACTTGCTGTCACTTCTGTTAAAGAGAGAAGCCTCAGTTAGGCTGCAGGACTGCTGTCTCTCTGAATTTAGCTCTAGATTTTGCTCTAGCCTGTCTGGTTATCATGAGAAATGTTAGGACCAGGATCACTGCACCTACTTTGAGGGAACCATGTGGTATTTTTTGGATTTTGTGGACCCATTTCCTTTCTGCCTCTGCTGAATGTCTGGTGATTTCAGCAGCATGCATGGGCTCCCAGAAACCTGAATAGTTCAGCTCTGAACTCAATGGTCTTTCAGCAAGACAGCACATTGTCGTTCCAGATTTGCTGACTTCACAGGGTTACCTGTCACATAAGTCTGACTCTTGTAGCATCACCTACACCACCTACATGACTGCTTCATGGTTCAGTGCTACCGTGCATTTGCTGCACCTGGGTGTTGCCCGTGTAAACTCAAGTGGCGATGTGAAAGTAACTGCTTCGTAGTAGCAAGTGGGATTAGTCTTCATCACTTGTCAGCTCTGCCTACAGATTAATGTTGAAAGATGGGAAGCTGCACTTGTAATATTTGCTTTTACACAGGGCAGGCCTTGTTGAGCAAGTCATGGAGCTGCAATACTCACTGCTGAGATGAGATAGATCTTGTGTGTGTTCTGATTAGGGAAGGGCTGGAAAAAAGCAGAGCCTGCTGCAGTGACCAGGAAATGTGGACTTACAGAAACCTGACCCTGAATGTCAGCCTACAGAGATACCTTGAGACCATGGTGGCAAGATGGCCTTCAGTGGACATACATGCCCAGCAGAGGTGACATCTTTGCTTTCACCTTGAGAAAGGAGTTCTCAAACTGAAGAGACAAGGCTGGAGGCTGTCAGGGAGGCCTTGCCACTCTCAGGGGACCCTTCATGTGTAGCCAGCAGGGCGGGAGCAAACCACTGCTCTGCAAGCAGGGGTAACCTGGCCCAGCTGCTGTCCTGCCAGCAGAGCACATTTCACTGCACAAGCAGCAGGGGTTACAGAGGGCAGCAGTCTTTCTCAACTGGCTTAGAAGGAGGGACCACATTTTCAGAGACCCCAAGGAGGCAGCACATTCCTAGAATGTGCTTGCCACTTGCTACCACTCATTCATTCAAGGGCTGGGCTGGCTTTAATAGAAACTGAAGAGCCAGTGGTTTGCTTTAGACTACTCAGCCCAAAGTGAGGAGTGCACAAGACTTTCTCACCCCCTTACATCCAAAGAAGACAGGTCATAGCTTCCTATAGGAACCAGATCACATCCAGGGACAAGGAAGTTGAGCTGTTAGGCATGTGGAAATGATCATGTGGGCCCCAGCCTAGAGGTGCCCTTTCACCACCTTTCCAGCAAGACCTCCAGCTAGCTGGTCAAAGGGCACAGCAGGTGACACACAGAGACACAGAAGGGGAGCCAGACCCAGACAGATCAGCTGGGAAGGGCCTTAGGGAGTGAACCTGCTGCCTACCAGAATGGGTGTAACCACAGCCAGACTTGACTAGCACCAGGACAAGGACAGGGCTGCCCTAAATGGTATTCCCACCCTGATATACCCTAAGTCTCAGGCAGATTGCAGGTCTCTGCAGTTTATAAAGCCCAGACAAAATTAGAGGCTAGGGAACCCCTCTGAGGTCACAGAGAAGCAAGTGCAAAAGGTAACACAAGGACAGCTCCAGCAGTCAACTTAAATGCTTTTATTGACAATGTCTCTGAACAATAATAAGCAAACAATGCTTAAGTTTCATCCAAATTCACTTTCCACATGTCAAAAAAGACTTCAAGGTAGAAAAAAATAAAATAAAAATATAAATATCTGAGAATCCGTCTTAATAAATAAATTAAAAACACAATAAAAACGTTTTCATGGAAAACTTATGTCAGAACATTCAGACCACCTCAACAATGCATGATCAGTAAAGTTACAATGAACATCAACGTAGAACTACAGTACATGGATATAGCTATTTATCTACCTACTAGAAAATAAAATAGAGTCTCTTTCCCCCCACGTAAGATGGGTCATTGCTAAGTCATCAGAACACGATATTGCCAGGAACACAGTAGTTATTGTTAATCAGCTGCACTAGATACGAGTTGGAGATACCCAGCACCAGGTTAAATTCCAATCATTTAAAACCAATAGATTAATTAGTTAATGCTAGTGATACTAAGGAGGGGAGGGAGTCACCTACCCAGCCATGTGGGACATGCTACAGACTACCAGCTCTCATGGATGGGCCACTGGGGACAAGACAAACTCCATGCGATTTGCTACATCTCTGGAAGAGGTAAGAGACCTCGGTGCATGACGCTCTGCCAGGCCCCGGGGCACCAGGCCAGACAGGGGGTGGCGGTGGCAGGGCCCTCCCCAGGCCTGGGGAGCCCCATGGGGCACAGCTGCAAGTCCGTGGGGGTGCGTGGGCAGGGGAGGGGGCCCAGCAGGTCAGTCAATGCCGGAGCCCTTCACAAAGCCAGGAGGGTGGGGGAGCTGAGGGAGTCGGACGAGGGCTCATTGCTGCTGCTGCCCTTCCGGTGCGCGGCAGCGCAGCTGGGGAAGGCCTCTGCCTCGGGGTAGGTGAAGACGAAGGTGGAGGTGTAGGTGCTGGGACACGGGGTGCAGGTCACCACAGGGGTGCAGAGGGGCTCCAGCTCACCGCTGGTCCCGGCAGTCAGCGACTCCCAGTCCGACGGGTAGAAGGAGGAGGCCCCAGGCAGGTCCATGTCGGGCACCGAGCGGGAGGCCTCCCGCGGCCCCGTGGAGAAGAGCAGCTCGTCGAAAGGCTCAGCCTTGAGCTCCAGCCCGCTGCTGCTGGTCTCCTTGGGCGGCACGGCCGGCGGCGCTTCAGGCATCAGCGGCAGAGCAAAGGCAGCCTCCTCCGTCATGGGGGGGCTGGGGGTGCCCAGGTCCAGCGCGGTAGCAGCGCTGGCAGCTGCCAGCTCCTCGGAGAAGCACAACTCCTCGGGCATCTTGCAGGCGGGCCGGTGGGCCGCCAGGATAAACTCCAGCTTCTCCTTCTCCTTCAGCAGGTTAGCAATCTCCGCCTGCAGCGCGGACTTCTCCTCCTCCAGCTGGTCGGTCTCCTGCCGAGAGAGCAGGCTGTCAGCCAGGGCCGGCATCACTCCCAGCTGGAGTCCCCTTCCTCCCGTCATCCCCGCCCCCGGTACTCCCTCTTCCCCAGCCACCTCCCGGGCAGCACTTACCGCCTGCAGCGTGTCGGTGAGCTCCCGCCGCCGGTTGCGGCACTTGGCCGCTGCCATCTTGTTCCGTTCCCGGCGGATCCTTCTCTTTTCCTCCTCCTCCGGGGACAGCTGCGGGCAGAGAGAGATCGTTCAGTCCCGCTGCCAGCCCGGTGCCCCCCGGCCAAGGAAATCCGCCGGCGGCGCGTCCTCCCGGTCCCCCCATCAGCTCCAATCCGCACTCACCTGTTCGACTTTGCCCCGGCGGCCGATGCTCTGTCCGCGGCCGCCCGGCGCCTTCAGCACTGCGGGGCGGGAGTAGGTGGTGGGGGCGGCCGCCGAGACGCCGTAGGGGTGCCCGCGGCTCTGGGAAGGGGCCACTGAAGAGATGAGAGTGGGCTGCACCAGCCACTGCAGGTCAGGGCTGGTGGAGATGGCCGTCACCGTAGGCACGAAGTTGGCGCTGGAGGCGGCCAGGTCGGTGCAGAAGTCCTGTAGGTCAGAGGAAGGGGGGCTGCCGTCAGCGGAGCGCCCGGGCCGCTCCCCGCCGTCCCCGGGGCCGCGGCGCCGCGCTGCCAGCGCCGGCTCCACACGAGAGCGGCCTGTTATAAATATCTCTGACGTCCGCGCTGACGCAGACGCTGCTCCGGAGTCTCCTCAATGAACTCGCGTTTTATCAATGAAGCCGCTTTACACACCCGCCGCAGAGCGCGGCCCTGGCTACGGCACCCCCCGACCGTCCCGCCTCGGCACCGGGACCGCTCCCCATGCCGGTCCCCGGCCTGACCTCCTCCGGACACGGCTAGCCCCGTGCCACCCGCTCCCGTCCCGTCCCCTCCTGAGCGCTC